GAGATAGGATCTTTTGACACTAGTGTCAAATTTCAAATTTGACATCTCATCTGATAGCCGTTAGATTAAAAAAGATCAACGACTCTGATTTACAAACATGTGACACCATTGATCTTTTTTGATCTAACGGCTATTAGATGAGGTGTCAAATTTGAACTTTAACACCGGTGTCAAAGGATCATACCTTTTATATATATATATAGGGATAGGATCCGTTTACAAATTTCTTTTGCAAATTACACTAAGTACGACCGGTCGTACACTGCATGATTAAAGTATGACCGGTCGTACTTAGTTTAGTTCATAAGAATTCGTAAATAAAAAAGTTTGCAAATATAACATGCCCCATATATCTATATATATATATATATATGTGTGTATGTATGAAATTATTATTTTTTGCTGCTATAGATAGGGTGTCTAATGCAATAGACTCAATACATGTGGACTTCATTGATTTTTTTTTTTTTAAAAAGGCAAGCATGGAAACCGAATTTGGTGAGAGAAATTTTCTATCTTCCCGGGACATGAGACTAACTTAACCCATATATATTTAAAAATTTTAAGTCATTTATTTTTTAACCTGAATGTATGAAAAAAAATACTAATTTTATTAAGTTATAAACTTGACTTAAATATTTTATTAATACAAAATTTAATATTAATTAATGAAAATTATTTGACTTGTGAGTTTGACATCAGTCAAGCTTAACAAGAAAATATGTTTGATTTTTTATTGTGCTAAAGCTTAAACTATGCCTAAATCAACTTAACTTTGACTCACTTCTTTTAAAAACTAAATTGGTATTCTAAAATTCTTTCATAAACAAAATGAGAATTTGTTCTTGTTATACATTGAAGGATAAGTGACATGGTATACGATCGTATATCCAACTATATTATCAATTTCAATCTTAAAAGATTGAGATATGTGCCAATCGAATTATGAAAGTAGTTAGATGTGTCTCTTTTTGTTTTTATATTACCCTTAGTTATGTATACATTATTAAAATAAACCTCTAAATAACTTTCAACCTTAACTATAGATGAAAGATTAATAATATAACTTACAGAAAAATATTTCAGCAATTAATGCAGATAAGTTATCTGTATTTATTTTCAAAACAATATCGTTTTGAGATTGAAAAATTAAAAAATTATAATTATAAAGACTATAATAACCTGAAATAAATTAAAATTACAAAAACATCATGATTTCTGTCCCAAAACAATGTCGTATTTGACTTACTGCAGATAATTTATCTGCATGCAGAAAAGACGAACCCTATAACTTAAATCAAATCAAGAAATAGCATATGCCAAGAATATTATTTTTGTCTTCCATTAATACTTTCAATGGTCTAATGAATCAGTTGTTGAATTATTATAGCTAACTATTTCAACTCGCTTCAATCATTTCCTTTATAAAAGTTTCACATGTATGTTATGATGTGCCTTTTTTACTTAGCAACTTCACTGCTCACTCAACTTTATAATAATTTCAGTCACGTATCTACAGATCACATCTAGAGTCCCATTCGATCTTATGTATAATGTAAGTTCTTATGCATAATTACATTGAAAGCATAATTTATTTATGTAAAAAAAATTTAGCTTTATTAATTGCTTATATCTATGAAAATGTTTACTGCGGTTGTCAGTCATATTAGTTGTTGACTGTGTCATTTTTAAACAAAAAAACATATGAAAAGAATTAATTAGACAAAATAGAATTTAGTTCAATTTGGTTTGAGTCTTCAAATAGAAGCAAATTGTTAACTGTTAAGTTCCTTATATAAGATAGTCTATTGGTTTACTTTGAAGAATTTTTCGCTTCAAATAAAATTAAATTAAACTGCGAATACTCCCAATTATAAGCTCTCATAGAAATTTGTGCCCTAACCTTTAGACGAGATCATCATCTTTTCATAATATTTTTTAAATATAAATTGAGAAAGGTTATCTTACTATTTTTTTTTTATTATCTCTTATTATTAAATTTTAACCATTGATTTTTGTCAATCTAACGGTTATAATTTATTAAAAATTAAAAATTAATTAATAAGTGTCACCTAATAAATTATAACCGTTCGATTGACGAAATCAACGATTAAGATTTAGTAGCAAGAGATAGTAAGAAAAAAAGATAGTAAATATAATATCTCTCATATAAATTAACCTACATGACTACAAGCTATATTTTACTGACACTTCAAAAAATATAAAGTGTCATGTCTGACACTCTGATATCTATAATATTTAAAATTTCATTACATGTTATCAAAAAAAAAAAAATTCATTACATATCATGAAAAAATTGATCGATGTTTTACCAAACTGATATAATAAAAATTAAAAATAAATACCAAATAAATCTCACTAGAGTACGTAAGACATTTTTCAATTTGAAAATATTATAGCAAATATTTACATTTCTTTGCAAAATTGATGGGTATTATGAGTTTAATTTTATTTTTTAAATTATTAAATATTAAATATAATATACACTACATAAATTAAAAATATTATTTAATATCAAAACATGTCCTAACTCCTGACGAGTCATGGCATGTCCCGTATCGATGTCGGTACAACATAGACTGCAAGTACACTCATAATTTTTATTGTCATTTTAAATTATTTAAAATTTAGTATTTACTAATCATGAATAATAAAAAAATAAGAGAATAAAATCTTATAAAATCATTATTTGATATCTGTTTACACTTATATTTTATAAAAATTTAAATTGTGCCTCTAAGAATAACCCTGCTCCACATAATATGTAGAACTAGTTATGCATGTTTATATGCTACAAAGGCATGGAAATCAAGCTATTCATGAAGTTAAAAACTTTTCAAAAGAACGATTTCAGTCATAAATATACTGTGTAAAAAAATCATAATTTACACAGCAAAATATTTGGATGTATTTGAGTTAAACATAATTAACAAAACCATATTTAAATTCAAATTGAGCTCATGTTAGTAAAATATTCTTAGATTCTCAAAATTCTACATTTTTCTGATCTTATACAGTCTAATTTTAAATGTAAATATAATTTTCAATGTAAAATAATTTCATCTACTTTTTCCATTTCAAAATATTTATCACTTTAGAGAAATTATTTGTTTCAATTAATTATGTCCGTAAAAAAAAGTCTTTGATTTTATTCATTGTGTTCTTTAATTGATAATTTGTATGTCAACACTATCCTAATATTTGAATATATACGGTAATTTCTCGTCCCTTAAATTCTTTATCTGATAAAATACGTGCACCGGGAAGTTAAGGGTAGTCACACTTCGGTGTGTTACCCACTTCTTAAAAGGCTAAATCTATGTTTAAATGTGTCAGTCAGATCAAGTCTGGCTTATTTACAAAAAAATAAAAGTCTGATTTAGCTTGTTAGTCTGTTTAAAAAAAATTAAGACAATAAAAATTTATCCAAACAGAATATACAATCAATAACACTAGTAATTCTACAAATATTCATAAATTCAATGTATATCCAAATAACATAATATAGAACAAAATCATTCAAAAAGTCTGTTTAACCAATAAAATAGGGTAAAATGGATTGAGGAAAAAGAGATCTATTACAGGTAATACAAAAAATATAAAATAAAAATATATATATACTAGTCCAGCCTGAGAGGCTCTAAAACCGAACTTTTGAATTGGAGCCTAAATTTTTTTTATTAAATAAGTTTTTATACAAATTAAAATTTGATGCCAACAACCAATTTTAGACATCATCAAACTTTGTGCCCATTGGCTAGCTAATTATTCTCCTAGTAATGTTAATGGCAGAATTGCTTGGCAGGTTCCGCCTCCAGGCCCATGGTTATGTCCGTTACTTGATAAGGATTCTAGGGGTGCAGCATTTGACATTATCCCTGATTAGTTTTTCTCTTTTGTTTATGGGCTAGTGCCCCCGTTATGAAAAAAAAAAAAAAAAGCCTCCAGGCCCGTGGTTATGTCCGTTACTTGATAAGGTTTATTTTGAATTTTTTTAGTTAACTCAACTCTAATTATCTCTTTTAAGCGAGTTGACTCTCTTTGGTATCTCAAATTTTTTGATTTTTTGAATCAATTATAGGACTAATCCGGAGTACGAGATGCATTAGAGATAAAAATATTTAAACTCTCTTAAAAGTGGCATATGGGAACCGAATCGAGATCTTTTACTTTCTTTCCACTTACTCAACTCCCTTACTACCAACTGAACTATCACCCTTTGGTTACAATTGACTTTTCATATGCATTCCTCATTCGGAGGCTGAGTTTGCACACAGACAAATTTATGTTACGTTAAAAAAAAAAATTAAATACATTAAAAAATAAAAAATATTATAGCGAATCTATATATTTTGTAAAAAAATTTGGACCATGCAGCCATTCATCCAAGTTCCCATTTTCCTTGTATAATAAACAATAGAAACACATTTAACTATGCAATTCTAGCTACAAAGTTCCAATTAATCTACCGCAACCACTTTTTTATGGATCATCTATATATTGGTAAAAAAAAAAAGTTTACGTGGATTATATCACAAGAAAAATGTTTATCCTTTTAAATGACATAACTTATATCTTTTCACTCTCACAAAGAGGTGAGACCTTCACCTTTATTTTTTTTGTCAACTCTTTCTCCTCTTTTATTTATCTCTTTCTCTCTCATAAAATGACACAACTTTACATACTTTAAAATGATACTCATTTTTCCCTTATATCACTTGCAGTATTCTTTAATTAAAAAACTATTGTCAAAAGCCTTTAAGATGGGATTTGAATCTCTTTTTTTTAGGGTGTATTTGGTTTGAGGATTTTGATGAGATAGATAGGCAAATTAGAAATGGGTTTGTTAGCTGACCACGTTTGGTTGAACGGCTTCCATATTTGCCTACGCTAATCATTATGCCAGCAACTGAATTTTGCATGTCTTTTGGATTGAAATAGCAGGCCAAATTTACTCACTTGAGATTTGGTATTGTGCTTTATCTATCTAAATAGTCACATTGTCTAATAACCATATTACGAGCGTACCCTCTGAGTGTGAGTGTACCCTGTTTGCAGCTGCTGAGATCACTGGTGACACCACAGCAACGACTAAGTTGAAGAGCTTGATCGACAGAGATATTAAAACCTTGAAGCAAACCAGGAGTAAAGAAAATGTTGCAGAGACAGGGAAGCTGGGTTGCAACTGTTTGTTTGAGTGGATTGCAGCAAGAAGCGGGTGGGTTAGGGGTAGTAAGGTAGTTCGCATATGGAATTAGGTCTGAAGCACAAGTGGTGTTGGTGCCACCAGATTGTGCCTCTGTTAAGCTCATCGCACTCATCATGAACACCAAACCCACCATCAACGACATGCTCCACCCACCCATTTTTTTAAAACAAGGTTATTTTCGTAATAGCACCTTTTTTCTATCTATATTTTACCTACACCCAAACATAGACTTTATAAAAGTTACCTAATTTTTCCGTCCAAATTTTTTTCAACCAAACAACTTTTTTTACATTTTCCTATCAAACATAATCCTCCAACCATTTTTCTATGAATAACATTTTCCTATTATTCATAAAATTTCTCCTTAACCAAACGCCCCCTTAGAGTAATTATAGTAGGAATTTCAACTACTAACAACAAATAGAAAAAATGAGTTTTAAAAAATGTACAATTCGTTATTAACATATTTATATTTTTATCACAATGTAAACCGTCAAAACTATAGCACACTATATTTCAATGGGATAATGATAGCTACATTCATGATTTCTTTCACATGTATACATCTCAAATGAGGGGGGAGAGGTGGGGTTTCAAATTTTAAGAATTATGAAATTGGTGCTTTACTGTATATGCTTTCAGATGTTAAACTACATAGTAAATATCTACCAAAAAAACCTACATAGTAAATACAATTCAAAGATCTTATTTGAGAAATAAGCATATATTTATTTTCTGAATATGTTTGAGATCAGAAGGCGCTTCCTACTTCCAATTTCGGTTTGTTTTTATAACAGGTTTGTACAAAATTCACTTCTAAATCATCTAAACCGTACCCTCTTTAAAAAAGTTTCCTTCAAATTGTGGAGGGCGGCCGCCACCCTCAGGCTCCCTTAAATCCACCTCTGACTTTCGAGAAATATGAATGATGTACTTTATTATCCAGTAAATTTTATGTGCATCTCTCATTAAATTTGTTGAGCACCAAGGTAATAGGACCGAACTCAGGGACAACAATCAAAGTGTCACAATTTTCGCAAAAAATTATCTAAATCTTACGCTCTGCAATTTTTTTTTCCAGAATATCACGTCACTGATGTGCCTTCAGCACATGGGTAAATTCAAGCCAAAAAGAGAAAGATTATGGGTTAATTCTCAGTAAAAAGGCAACGTTTAGTGTTGCTTTGCTTAAATTCCAATTTCAGAATTGTACAACTGATTTTATGCTTAACTTGTAGGAAAAGCAAACAAATCTGGAGCAAAATGAGGATTTGCCAAAGTAAAGACCCACGCTCACAGCGTGGATGTCACGCTGGTAGCGTGGGAATCCAGAGGCAACCACGCCCACAGCGTGGATTCCACGCTGATAGCGTGAAAAATTTCCTTCTTCCCACGCCCACAGCGTGGATAACTAGCTGACAGCGTGGGAATCCAGAGGCAACCACGCCCACAGCGTGGATCTGACGCTGAGAGCGTCAACGTGCGATACTGCAATTCTGTTTTGTCCAAAAGGGTAAATTTAGAAGACCTAAAAGAGTATTATAAAAAGGAGGATCAGCACAGAATTAGGATTTAGACCGAAGGAGACCGTTGTGCTGAAGGAGAAGAGCTTCGGAGAAGGATTCTTGATCATCTTCATTCTTTCATCTCTCATTCTTTCATCCCATTGAATATTGAATATTGATTTATTAGCCATGAATATGGTTGGCTAAGTTTTTCTTTATTGTAGTTAGGGTCACAAACCTTATGTGAACCCTTGTTACGAAGGATTGATTTATTTTCTCCCGTTTATATAAATTTCTTTATCATTACTCTGTGCGTAATTCCTATTTTCTTTATTAGAATTGATCACTCTAATAGTTGATAATAGTCTGAGGGTTAGAACCCTAGATAGGAATATTGGGGTTCTCATCTTGAAAGGGGGTAAGATAACGATTAGTATGCATGTTAGGAATAGATGTATGTTAATTGCGGATGTTTTAATTATCGTATTCATTGCTTAATTCTCATGAGGGGTTACTAAGGGATTATGATTCCAACTAAGGTTAAAGGGTTAAATTACCAAGGGATTAGAATTTAACTAATTATTTTAGATGATATTTATATGAGTTTTTATATAAATAAGTGTTTTTAAATCAATCCAAAGTAATAAGCGGGGATCATATGGTGAGTGTTTCCTAGCTACAATACTCTTCTCATATTTACAAATTGCTTCTCATTGTTGTTTACAATCTCATTCTTGATCACAGAAATATCACAAAAACAAGTCTTTATTTTTAGTCCTCATATTCACACCAATTGACAATACTTGTCAAAACCATTTGAACTCATCCATTCTTTAAAGGAATATTAATTAATATAAGATCACAATCTCTGTGGAGACGAACATTATTTACCACTTTATTACTTGTGCGATCGGTATACTTGCCGGGTAGCATCAGTCACTTAACTCGCCACAACACCTAAAGAGTTAGGTGTAAACACGTGACAGAAGGCGTATGACCACGTAAGCCACTGCATAGTGCAGCGAGATTACGTGGCGTCAAACGTGCTATGCAGCATAACATGTTTAGTCAGCTTTTCTGACACGTGACAAACGTGCTATCGAGCATAGCATGTTACATGTGTCATAAAATAATTAAAATTGTTATCAAAAAAAAAAAAAAATTTAAATTAATATAGACAGAATTAAACTAAAATAATTAACAAACATAAATTACATTTAGTTCGTTAACACTCTTAAATTAAATTACATGACTTAACAGTTCAAAAAAAATTAACATAACCTAAACTAAATTAAATGATATTAATTAACACTTCTAAAAATAATTAATTAATAGTTATAAAATAATTTAAATTAATTATTTTAGTTTAATTCAGTCTATATTACTTTAAATTGTTTTATAAATATTAATTAATTATTTTTAGGAGTATTAATTAATTTAATTTAATTTAGTTTAAGTTATGTTAATTTTTTTTGAACTTTTAAGTAATTTAATTAAGGAGCGTTAATGAATTAAATGTAATTTATGTTTGTTTATTATTTTAATTTAATTCAGTCTATATTAATTTAAATTATTTTATAACTATTAATTAATTATTTTTAGGAGTGTTAATTAATTTTATTTAATTTAGTTTAAGTTATGTTAAAAAAAATTTGAACCGTTAAATAATGTAATTTAATTTAGGAGTCTTAATGAACTAAATTTAATTTATGTTTGATAATTATTTTAGTTTAATTCAGTCTATATTAATTTAAATTATTTTATGACACACATGCAACATACTATGCTCCAGCACATTTGTCATATGTCAGAAAAGCTGACTAAACATGCTTTGTTATGTTTGACGCCACGTAATCTCGCTGCACTGTACAGCGGCTTACATGACCATGTGTCTTCTGTCACGTGTCCACACCTAACTCGTCAAATGTTATAGTGAGTTAGGTGACGTGATAATTTAAAAATAATTTTACGCAGCATTTAGGTAATTTTTTTGCAAAAAAATATGACACTTTGATTGTTTTCCCCTGACTCAGTAACTCCTCCTAGGTAACATTGCAAATTATCTTAATTTCTACCTCAAGACCAGTTCACTACAGGTGAATCACTTTCCTAGCCAAGTAAAGAAAATTCAAACAATTGGCAGAAAGATCATCTTCTGCAGTAAAATCTTCTATACTTTTATTTTATTTGCCTGGTACTTAAATGTTGAATCCACTTCAGCAAGCTTTTTTCAACTCGATGATACCTTATTATTATATATAAGATTGACGTTACTACTGAAGTTCAATAATTGAGGTCGCGAAATTAGAATGAACTTATCGCAGCAAACATATGTGACGAAGCTGTTCATGTTTACGTCAACTCTGACCGATTATAAAAATCACAAAATGAACTGTAAAACATACTCCGCTCCAGGGCCAGGCTCAGGAGATGTGACATAACTTCTATGCAAAAATATAGCGTCAATTAAATAAGGATTTTTTATATTACACTATACGTAACTTTGACTTTTTATATACAAAATTTTAAGGATACAAAGCTATAACGACTTGGCAATCTTTTAAAGGTCCAAAAATTGAGATCGCACAATAGAATAATACAACAAGTGCATGAAATTAAAAAAAAAAATTATATATATATTTTTTATTTTTTCTACTATCAATGTAGATAAGTCTGTTAATGTAGATAAATTATCTACATTGAACCCAAAATGATGTCGTTTTGGAGCGGAAATTAAGGTATTTTTATAATTATAATTATTTCAGGGATATAATAGTCTTTTTCATTATAATTTTTTAATTTTTCAACGCAAAACGATATCGTTTTGGAAGTGAATATAGATAACTTATCAGCATTTACTGTAGAAACATTAAAGCTATATATATATATATGTGTATATATATTAGAGATGAATGTTTCTCATATTGTAGGAGATAACTTTATTCCCTACACACATGTTACGTATCATTTATATCATGCCTTTGGGACCAAAAGTATACTAATATTGATGAATATGGTTAAAGACATAGTGTATATTATTAAATGCAAAAGACTTTGGAGTTTCTCATGTTTGAAATGATAGTGACCTAAAATTATTTTGGTTTCAAGTTTAAATTGCTATTATGAAGCATTGGAGCAATGATTAAGTTAGAAGGACTTAAAGCTATAAATGAAGAGCAATCAATTAGTGAAAATCTTATTGAATTTAGTTTTGACCAATTTTTTGTATCGAAGATGAAGGATTTGGATCTTGTGTTCTTCATAGAAGTTGTATATCTCTCTTTTATCTTTCCAACGAGACCAAGATCACATTAATTAATTGAACGAGTATAGCTCAAGTTATGCCCAAAATACCAAATCATATTTTTGTTGTCTACTGCAGGCGAATTTGCTCGTTTCAGCGAGCAAGTTAGCAAGTACATCATATTTGCTCACAAATTTGCTCGCTTCAAAGAGAAAACTTAGCGAGCAGCGTCATCATTTTTGAAGGCCCATGGATCTTCTGTTATAATAGATACCCTTTAAGGTTTTTCTAATCATAAAAGATATATCCACCACTTCGTCATGGATACCAATTACTTCGTTCTTTTATGTTTTTTTTTTAATTTTTTTTATCTGTTTTTATTTATTTATTATTATGTCAGGCTAGATT